TTCGCAACCTTTTGACTCTGAAACAAAACTGTATTTCGCTTATAAAGCCTTTGGTTTAGAGGACGGCTGCATGGGACCAACCAGAAGGTGGTAGTTTTTAGGCCATTGGAAACAAAAAGAAATTAGGCCTGTTGGCGGACGAACAAGATGCCTCCTACCGGTAGACTGAGTTCACCGCCTGGGTATTTTCCAAGGTGAATTCATCCAAACTGGACTGAAGTGAGCTAAAAACAGAGATTGCTGGAGTGGCCGATAAAAGGGGTGAGACAACTTGCAGGAAACAGTCTGAACGAAGGGCACACGATCTCTGGAAGGCCTGTAGCGAATAGCTCCACAGGAAGTGCACTTGTGAACATTTGCCGTGACTAGCTCAAGTCCAAGTATTGTTTGGAAACGCTTGCTGCTTCCGGCCTCTGGAACAGCCAATCACAAGCCGACGCACAAAGGACCTCATGTGACGACTGCCGAGCAGACATCGCTTCAGACGCCGTAGTCGATTTTGTCATATTCAGAGTATTGAACTCGGCTTATCGTGACGCGTTCTTAGCAGCATCAGTTGACTGTCTCAACAGCTATAGGCCAGTGCAACACGCTACCTTCATCTGGCCATCTCTGATGATGAATAAGACTTTGAATCCGAAACGTGACGCTGATAAGGCTCCTATTCCAGCGATCTTGTCACCATCTTCGTGATTGCTGCCCAGTGCGAATATTTTCCAATCTATCAGCTACTACTACCCCCAATCAGCAGGCAAGTAATGTGTGCATTAGGTATTCATGCTGCGTCTACGTCAAGCCCTGCCCGTATAAGAAATCCGCCAGAATGGCAATTCGGTTGTGAAAAGAGGAGAGAGAGGAGGGCGGGGAGGAGACGGAGCGAGTGGAACTGAAGGCAAAAACGTATGGAAGCGTGCCGCACGCGAAGTTCTTTTCGTTTGACAAGGGGTCCTATTAGTACTCGGGCAGGCTCGTGTGTTTGCACCCTTGTGTGGAAGGCTGGGTCAAAGCTTGTGAGATGTCAATTAATTATTCACAAGTCGCGTTTGCGAGCGAGAGAGAGAGAGTAGTTTTAAGAATGATTACTCTGTCACCTTATCCCCCCTCCCCCGCCTTCACTAGCTGTCTCTGCTCCTAATCCCCAAGGAACGGAACTTTCGGACGGTCTGCTTGTCCCTACTCAGAAAACGCAAACTGTGTGTGCGAGAGAGCGAGGGAGGGGTGAAATATTCATGAGCTGCTATGAGAACCACACCTGCAAAATCCCCATTAGCAGGACAGATTGAGTTTGTTTGACCGCAAGCGGTTCAGCGCAAGTCAGCAACTCAAAATGTCAGTCGAATTTAGAGCATCGACGGCCGCTCAAGCCCTGATAGTGTTGAAAAATGTGCGAGCAAAGCCCGCTTTAAATTAAAATTAAACACTACAAGACACCCGGAAGGGTAATTGGCGAGCATACGCAGGCCTTCGATAAATTCTCCTCGGGCTATTCATTTATAAAGGAACGGGGTACCGGTTAAACAAGCGACCCATAGTGTTTGTCAATACAAGCGAACAGGCGAGTCCCAGGAAGTAATCGAGAAGAAGACGACTCGATCGCTGGGACAATA